AGAGGAAATCTGGAGCCAGCACACAGACCCAGTGGCTTCCAGAACTCCCTGTAGTTTTCCCCTCTTGATTCTCTGTTTCATGCCCTTATCAAAAGACTGCATTGAAAACTGCTTCATCTTGGTACCCCCTGGAGCTGCAGCTTGAACAAGCACTTCTTAGGCAGCAGTAAGTGTGTGTGTGTATATGTATAAAAAATATTATTATTTTCAGTTTGGGGGTCACTGAAAGGACTCATGGCAACACTACTACCAGTGAAAGTGTGTGGAGTGGAAACCTCCTCTCCTCCAGATTTACTGGTGGCACAGAGCTGCCTCTGCAACACCTCACATGCCTCAGGAGATGTGAAGGAAACTGGCTCAGACCCTTGGAACTGATTCAGGAGCTGGGAAGAATTGGGTGCAGCATTAATTGTTTCATCTTTGACCTTTCCTCTCCAAACAAAACAGGAAGTTTTGTTTTCTTCCCCTCACTAGTAAGGTGACATAGGTGAAACTACTATGGTGACTACTATGGTCACTACTACTAGGTGACTAGTAGGTCAAAGTGCTGCAGAGGTTCTGCTCTCCATGGACTGGAGGGAAAGCAACTCCTGCGTGCTGGTTTCAAACTACCAGGAGTAGTCTGAGTCAGGCTAATTTCACATATATCTTGATTTGTTTGTCGCTCTTCCTTGTCAGCCTGTGGTTGATATGGTGCCTTGTGGGGAAACTGCTTGTCAGGAGGGGATCAGTGCTTGGGTTGTGACGTGGGTGGGAAGCGAGGGGCCGTGCTGCAAGGAGAGCTGGTGGGAGGGTGGAGAGGCATCGCTGGCCGTGTTGCACAGGAACTGGCCTTGGGAGCGAGCTAATTGAGTATTTTCATTAGTGCCCTTCCTGCAAAACAGAGCAGGTCGCTAATAGGTGTGTTGATAATATGGGGGTACGAGCAGTGCAGGGGAGGATGAGTATTGAATAGGAGGAACTGAATGATTGATAGGTCTGGTGTCATGGCAATGTGGTGATATTTAATGGTATGAAGTTGCAAGCACGTGTACTTAGGAGCTCGTAATAAGATTTTCTTCTTGGAGATGGGAGATTATCATTTGGGAGCAAGCGAGAGAGAGAGGCAGCTGTGTATGTGCTGGTGATACAATGGTGAGCGTTACTTGATGAGGAGCGAGGACCCTGCCTGGGGCAGAGGAGGCAGAGAAAAACTGCCTGAAACACCTTTTAAGAGAGCCCCAGACAGAGGAGAGCTGTCTAGTCCAGCTTGCAGGGCTGGTCCAAGGCTAAACGGGTATAAACTCACCAAGAACAAATTCGAGCTGTGCATCAGGAGCATCTGGGATAGCTTTCCTCGTGCAGGGAAGCCATGAAAATGGTCAGACCCTTTGTCAAGCACAGCGTGGGCTGTGGCACAGGAGAAACATGAGCTGGTTCAAGTGGGGTGTGAGCTCCCTCAAACCATCCCTGGGGAGTTGGAGCAGCTCCCGCTTGCCTGTGTTATCTGGTGGTTCAGAGTCATCGGCTGCTTTTCATGCACAGGAGCTGTGCAAAGGCTGGGGAAGGAAAACACTAAAAAGGAGTAATTCTCAGCTTACTTTCTTTAACAGTGTGCTGCCAGTTCGTTACTTAAATGCACGTTTAGATAAGCCAGTGAATATATGTTTATGCTAAGCACCTGATAAACTTGATCCCTTTTTGATTAGAAAAAAATGTTTAATTGCACCTATCTTCAGTGCTTTGAAATTTTAATTTTTTTTGCATAAAATTCAGATTGCAAGGAGGGTGCTAAATTCTGTTGCGTCATTAATTCATATCATACTAAGGGATTTTTTCACTACTGTTGGTTGCTTTGGTGTTTTTTTTTTTCCTTGCCTCCTGTCTAAAAGCTTGGGTTTTATTTCTGATTTTTGAACTACAGCAGCTCTGATTTGAGAATGAGTTTTGCAGTCGGCCCCACTAATATGAATCAAACACCTATAAATATATTTTTTATTTTTGTTTTAGAGGCAGTTTCACCTTGCAGGCAAGAAGTGGTTCTCTTGCCCTGTGAGATTTACAATATTTAAGGCAGCAGATAACTGTCTCCTAGCTCTGTCTTGTAACGTGATTATTTTCTGCATAGCTTGATGGATTCGTTGTCGGCAGGTAAGTGCTGTGCGCAAGACAGTCCGGACACGGCAGCCCTGAGTGTGTGAAAGGAAGGGTAGGAGTAAGACGAGTTTAATGGCTGTGTGGCTCCTCTTTTCCTGCCTGCCTGGAGCTGGTGCAGGGCTGAGGTGCAGATCTGAGAGGTGGGATATCTCTGTGTCCTCTCTGGCTTCTGTGGCCGCGTGTCCTGGGCTGCAGGAGCGGCAGCAGCCCTGAGCACCGGGTCAGTGCATGGCCCCTGGTCCCGCGCCATAGCTCTCGGCTAAGGCAGTCTGCACTGCTGTTTTCCAGCCTAGCAGGCGGAGGACAAGTGTGATGTTGTCTGTGCAGTGTTTTCTTGGAGTGCTTGGCAAGGGAGGCACAAAGGTTTGGGGGAAAGTGGGCTGTTGGGAGGTCTGACTGTGGCTCCAAGCTTCTGAACGCAGGTTATAGAGTAGTGGTCCCTTTTTGGGGACCTGTATCAGTATCATCACCCAAGTCCTGATTACAGTGCAGTTTTGACAGCAGTCATGGCGATCGTTGTTAATGGCACTGAAAACACCTGGTGCTGTTTGCTTCGTTTCTCACTTGGCAGTGGTCTTGGCATCCCACTGTTCCTGGGACCCTCACTGCCTTCTCCGTGTCGCTGTGTGGTTTGCAGATATTTGATGCGTTCGAGTCCCTGCGTTTTGCCTGTACACCTTTTGTAGAGGAACGTTTTGGCTCTTGAGGCAAGGCAGGCAAAAGGCAGTCTGTGACATGCATCACATGAGCTGCTCTGTGATAGCGATGGGTGACCCTGGGAAATCTTGTTGTTAAAGGCAGTATCTGCTCTTCCTCTTCTTGGCTCTTTCTGCCTTCAGATCAGTTAAAGGAGAAGTTAAGGAGGAGGGAGGGTAGCCCTGCCTTGTGTTGGATTAAGAAGAGAATACCTCATCCCTGTAACTGCATGGTAGAAGGTCATCCTTTTCTGCCTCATACAAGTGTCAGAAGCAACATCCGTTTCTGGGTTTGAAATTCACAGCTGTCACCTTGATGGGGGCTGAGTGATCTGCCAGCATTATGCCACTCACTCGTTCCTCTGGCAGAATGCTGTGCAGATTGCCAAACTCATTTGTGGCCCAACACTGGGTTTATACTCATACTGCTTTTAAAAAATTTGTTCCTTTTGTTGTTGTTTCTGAAACACGTATTTTGCCCTTTTTGAAATACCTTTTGCAAAAGGATCTCCAAGTGCTCTGGGAGACGCCTTCATGGCTGTTTTACAGATGTACGCATAACCCAAGGTGCAGAGGAGCTGTGGGACTTGCTTAGCGCTCCAGTTGGGAACTGGTGCTGGGTCTCTTTGCTGTATACATCAGCACTGTTCTGATTTCTAGAGTACAACTGGTGTCTTCAAAACTTTATTCTTACCTGGCCAGACTTGACACGGTCTGTCATCTCCATGCATTCAGAAGAAAACATTTTGCTATATGTAGTGTAGTCTCGGTTTGGTCTGGGACTTGATCATCTGGGAAGGTTGTCAAACCTTCCTGGTTGTTTGTGGTGGGCCTGGAATCTGGGATGCGACTTCTGCCAACACTTGGAAATTCTGCCTATGTGGAGGAACACACAAATCTGTATGAGTGGTTTGCACTGAGTTAGGGCAAGGCTTATGAACAGGGGCTGCTCCAAGTGAGCTTCTCCCCCTCCCCGTGTCTTTGTTCAAACCCACAGGCAGGGACACACCATGCTGGTAGCTAAACAGCGGAGTGGTGGGGGAATTGCATTAACAAGCTTCAGCGTCTTAGCTGCAGAAGTGAGAAAAGCAGCTCGTGTTCTGCAGCGTCTCTCTTCTGAACCACACCATATGGCCAAGCCCAGCACCTTCAGCTTGTCAGCAGTAATTCGCTGGCTCAGGAGGGCCTGAATCTTCTTTGCTGGTATTAAGACATGAATAGCAGGTGCTTGCTGAGGTGGTACAGACCCAGGCATGTTGCCTGTGTGTCAGCAGAGGAGAAGCTTAATACCTGGGGGATGGGGGCTAGAAGGCTGTGCCTTCTCAGATGGGGATGCTTTGGAGCCTATTTAGATCGGCAGGGATGTGCTCCATGGGATCCGACTTCTCCTGCTCTTCCCTGGTCTGAGAACTGCTCAGATCATTTCTGGAACTTGCAAAGCTTCCTGGGTGGTGGGTGGATGAGGCCTCTTTGGAGCCTGTCAAAGTGATGTGTGCTTCTGCCCAACGATGACCCTGTTTTGGAGGAACCCTGAGCTCCTCACCTGACAAGGAGAGGTTTGTAGCTGCAGAAGTCCTTCTGCTCTTGGAGCAAAGAGGCACCGATAGGAATAGCTGATGTGACCACAGAGGGAAAGTGCTTTGGGAAGAGACCAATTCAGAAAGGAGGGAGCCGCTTGCCTTTGACCATCTCATGGACTTTTCTAGAGCCCCTTTGGACAGCACTGAAAATATGTGAGTGAACCAAGATGCTCTCTTGTTCTGAGATTTAACCTGTGAACTCACTTATCGGCTACCTGAAACCAACAGCAGACAAAAGATGTTGTATTTCTTAGAGGAAAGAAGACATTACTTTCTCTAGATCTCTGGAAGCAAAAGCAATGCTCCTTTTCCCTTCCCTTTCATGGACAGCATACGAAGAGAAAAAGAAGTGTCCCAGATTAACACAATTCAATGTTCTGGCAACTTAATGGTAACGTTGCCCATGCAGATGAAGTGAAAACTGGAGAGCAGTGCATGTTGTACAGACATGAAGATGCCATCACCATCTTCAAAACCCTGGATCCTGCCTATGAACTTGAGAGCTGTCTGCAAAATTGTTCCAAGTAGACCTCAGCCCTGCTGCTTCCTTCTGCCAGCGGGCTTGGAGCTCTGGCTTTATGTTCAGAAAATGCATAACCTGCAGAAGAAGAGGTAGGTGAGGGATCAGGCACGTCCTGTGGGAGGAACTGGGGCTGCAACTTGAGTCTGGTTTTATTTGCTGTTTTCCCTTTCCTTTACCAGAGGCTGTCAAGGTGGTTCAGGTTGACTCACTTGAACAATAGATTCCTCCTTCTGCCTAAACCACCCTCCTAGTCTTTCCTTACGGACAGTTGAGCTATGGCCTTTGGAAGCTGTTGTATGCAGAGTGTTTTAGTGTGCTTGGATTCGTTCATTGATCTTCAGTTGGTTCTGCTGCCCTTGGCATTGTGTTTCTGAGTGGCTTTAGGCCTGCAGTGACTGAACTGCATGCAGAATTGCTTCCCAGAACTAGCTCTGGGACCCTGAGCATGTGGGAAGGGCAAGTGGGTTTTACAAGTGGATTGTGTTTCTGTTAATAATTGCCATCCTTGACTCTTTTCCCTCCACATGGCAGCAAATGTTTGGCAGAGTGCTGCGATACAGAGAAAAAGCCTCTTCTCCCTTCCCCCTGTTTGCTTTGGCCCCAAACTGAGCAGTGATGTTAATTAGATAAGTCAGATACTCTGCAAAGCAGCCTGTTCAAGGACAAACAGATTTTAATTAAAGGCTGTGTGCATTGGAGGGTCATGTCACTGCATTGTGCCTGAGCAGTTACTATGGGAACACTGGGAAGGCACCCAGAGAGTGTGAGTGTGTGCAAGTGTGTGAGTGTATCGGAATGCGGGCCCCGAGGCACAAATTTCACTTCTGGTTATGTTTCCACCGGCAAATGTGTCCTGAGTGAGATGCCACAATTTGGAGCATGTAGTTGAGTGTTGTTGTTGTAGGGTTTTCTGAGTTGTGGGGATGGGAGCCCTTGCTTCAAGCTATTCAAATCACACAAGTTTGGTCTGAGCTAGACTGCAATGCCATGAATTAGGGAAATTGGTCTCCAGCTCAGTTTTTAGGCCGTTTACAGTTGGTGAACTCTGTTTCTTAAAGAGAAGCTGGATGTTCGGAAGAGTTTTGTTTGTGTTGAAACTTGAACTGAAAGTCTTCTAAAATTTGCTTTTCTCTCTACTGTCTTCTGACCGAAACCCAACACAAATTCATGTGATAGTGGCTCATTCCTGCATTTCAAGGCCTCTCAAGATTCATCTCTGCTAAGATGCCTGAAGTTAATCTTGCTGATTTGAGTGTAAGGTGTTCCTTGCCTGTCTTCAGTCCCAAGCCTTCTTTCAGCTGTTCAGGATGTATTGGCAGAGATCTGTCAACACCTTATGATGACACCAGATAACCACTCTAGTGATCCACAAACGATGAATGTGCCTTGGGACTGATGGAAGTTTGGTATGATGAAGAATAGCCTAGAGTATTTCAGTTGGAAGGGACCTACAACCATCAGCTAGTCCAAGTGCCTGACCAATCCAGGGCTGACCAAGTTAAAGCATGTTATTAAGGGCGTTGTCCAAATGCCTCTTAAACACTGACAGGCTTGGGGCATCGACCACCTCACTAGGAAGCACTAGGGTGCCAGCCAGCACCCCTAAATCCCTTTCTGCAGGGCTGGTCTCCAGTCACTGCTCTCCCAATTTATACTTGTGCCTGGCATTACTCTGTCCTAGATGCAGAATCCCAAAGGGTCCCTCTAAGTCAACATGCTGTAGCAGAAGCTCGTTCTTACTAATTTTCTTCTGGTCTAGCAGGGGGATCAGTAGAGAGAAGTTAAAAATATTAAAACTATTAATACTAAAAATGTTTGTTTCATCCATCAAACAGAAGTTGAGGCAGGGACTGATGCTGCACTGGCACCACAAGCAGCCTTCTTGCGCAAGGAAAATAACCACTCAAATACGGGCTTTGCAGTGAGCTTGAATTCAAATATTTGTGTAGGAGTTTGAGGTGGGAGCTCAAATAAGCTGCTCCACAATCCCTTTCTCCTTGTTACTCAGTGGTTTTGGGGACAAATGAACAGTGAGACAGGAGACGTCACAAGTGTGTTTGGAGGGAGAATCTGAAACTAGCTCTTTTGCCTGTTTTTGTGTTTGGACAGTCCTTGTGGGTCGTCCTGCTTTGAAAGATGCTGTTGGGCTGCCAAGCGTTGGGTGTTTGGAGCCATACAGGGCCGACTCAGCAGAGAGCTTGCCAGGCTCTAGAGTTGGATTTTAGACAGTTTATGCACTGCTCATAGAGGAACTGGCTTTGTTTCCTGGCAGCTGAGAAAACGCCGTTCTGCCTGTTTGTAGGAAAAACCATACCAGGATTGGTATTTTGTATGTGCATCTCCCTGCACCCCTTCCCAGGAGAAGGAGACAAGCACTGGGTGCAGACTGGAGCAGAACATACTGGAGCGCAGACCCTGGCGAAGGAGGAACTCTGCCCTGAAGTCAGTGTGCATGGGGGGTGTGGGTGCAAGGTGGCAGGTGATGTCCTTAGGGAGTGAAGCCAGAGCAGCGCAGAGCACCCTGGCTTGGCCAGCAGACCTCAGCCTGGGTCGGCAGAGACACCCCGGTTGCAGGGGCTGGGTCTTGGCTCATCACAAGGGTGGCTTTGGGGAAGCATCTTCTAGGGCTCAGCAAGAAACTGCTGCAGGAGACGTCAGCTGGGCTGCTGCTCTTGCAGTGATGATGAGCAAGTTGTTCTCTTGGTCAGGGTACCACAGTCGAACTTCCTGCAAGTGCTCTTTGAGAACAGAATAGAAACCCCCTTTGGGCATTTATTATCTTTTGTCTGACCCTTGCTTTTCTGACTCTGGACAAATGGGCTATGTTTTTTTTCTGAGCAGATGTCCACCTTTGACCTAGATAGTTTTGACTTTTAAAAATACATTGACTAGAAATGAAAAAGCTGAAAAGAGCCAAGAGAAGCGTCTGAATAGAGGAGCAGGAACATGCTGTGTCCACTCACCTCGCGAAGGGGCTGGCTGCAGCAGGCACGACGCTTCCAAATGTAACTTCAAACACGTGCTCCGTCCCTCCTGAGAACTGGAGGATGCACATGGTCTAACAGGGACAGCTGTAACTCAGGACTTGATGGAGCACTCGAAGGAGCACATTTCCTTTCTCTTGAAGCAGTATCACTGGTCTTGCTCCTCTCCACTGACTTGCAGAGCGCTCGCTGGCAGCACAGCATGCACCGCTGCCAAAGGCGTCGAGAAATGCAAGGGAGGAAAGGCAGCCTGGAGGCTGATGTGCAGAGTGCCTGTGGAAAAAGTGACAGCAGGGGAGTTAATGAAAAACAGACACTGAGCACTGGAAGCTGCTCAGCCAAGAAATTCTGCACAGTCCAGGGTTTTCTCTGGTATCCAATAAAAATTTGTTACAATTTGGCTACCCTCTCTGTTACCCTGAGGAAAGTGGCGCAGGCATGAATAGCCTGGGTGCGTGGCTTCTGCGCTGAGCACCACCTGGAAGAAAAACAGATGCCATGTTACTCTTGTGGTGCAAACGCACGTCTTGAGAGCTAGAAGCCCTGAGTTTCTTGTCTGGATTTCTACCAGGAGCCTTCAGCCACTTTCAGATGCAGTCTGTAAATCTGGATGCTCCTGTGTCCCCTGCCTGGGAGGCTGGTTTCTCAGAGGGGCTGACTGCCCACCGTGTCCACTGGAAGCTGATGCCCACACTGCTGAGGTGTGCCAGCTGCAGGCTCTGAGTTGTTATCACCCAAACAGTGCTTGACCTGGGGCTGAATGCAGAGAGGCAGCTGCTGCCTAGGGAGTGGCTCCCTCCAGATGTTTTTTTCCTGTAGGTTTTTTTTTGGTGCAGTAAGTAATTAAAGGTGTATGCTGAAGTAATGTGCATAGTGGCATGGTGGCACTGCAGTCTAACTCTTCTAGAAATGACGGTCTTGCTTTTGGCAGAATGGAGGCATCCTGCCTGGAACTGGCCCTGGAAGGAGAACGCTTATGCAAGGCTGGGGACTTCAAAGCTGGGGCAGCCTTCTTCGAAGCAGCGGTGCAGGTCGGGACAGAGGACCTGAAGACTCTCAGTGCCATCTACAGTCAGCTGGGCAATGCCTATTTCTACCTAAAGGAGTACTCCAAGGCCCTGGAGTACCATAAACATGACCTTACCCTGGCCAGGTAAGCATGCCAGTCAGCACTTTGTCCTAATTAGACACAACCTGTCAGGGCTTGAGTGAGGGCAAGTTCTGTGAGGTCTGAACCCAGCAGTCTTGAGGGAATCTGTCCCAGAAATAAGCATCCAAAACTAGCCCTGAGGCATGGGATGGCTATTCTCTGAACTCAGGAGGCAACAAGAATGGGCCAGCCATCTTCAGAGCAAGGAGGTGGAGAAAGGGATATGAATGTGAGGAGGGAGCTTGGAGCAAGAGCAGGGCAGTGTCCAGTTCTCCTATCTCCAGGTACTTGTAAGTACACCTGAAGTCATTAGAACAGCTCACCAGAGACAGCAAAGAACAAGAATCTGTCTTCAAAATAGAGCTTGTGTGAAGTGTTCCAGTCAGGCCTGTGTGCTGGGAACTGCTGGATGTGGTGTACGTACCATGCAGTCCTTGCTGCAGCTTGGCTCACTGCAGCTTGAATTCTCCCTTCAACAGTTGGTGAATAAAAGTCTGAGCTCTTTAGCATCTCTCTTCTTTCCTCTGGTCATCTTGTAGAACCATCGGGGACCGCATTGGAGAAGCCAAGGCAAGTGGCAACCTTGGGAATACATTGAAAATACTTGGGCAGTTTGAGGAAGCTGTCGTTTGTTGCCAGAGACACTTGGACATTTCTCAGGAGCAGGGAGACAAGGTAATTGGTTTGTGGCATCCAACAGGAAATATTTCCTAGCTTTAAAAATAATCTGTTTACAAGTGAGTGATATGGTGAAGGTGGGCTTTGGAAGGAGGTGGAGTGTAAAGCTCTCCCTTCTGACTCCATCCCAGGTCTCATACTGCTGACAGCAACAGCTGCTATGACAGTGAAGATGAGAAAGGAAAAAGCGGGCCTCCTGGCTTTGACCATCTCTGCCCAGCAATGGAAAAGGCCATGCTGGGATGTGAAGTGTAATACCTTGCTGCTCTCTGTTCTGCCTCCCTTTAGGTAGGTGAAGCCAGAGCACTCTATAATATAGGAAATGTTTACCATGCAAAGGGAAAGCACTTATCTTGGAATATGGCCCAAGACCCAGGCTACCTGCCTCAAGAAGTCAAGGAAACGCTACAGAAAGCTTCGGAATATTATGAGTAAGTATTCAAGCTTGACCAGCCTTTCCTCCTGCAGGTAACAGGGCTGGTCAGGCATCAGTGATGGCTAAAACACACAGGTATGTCTTCGCTGAGCTCATCCTGCTCAGATCCTAATCTCTGTTTGTGGTGTTTGTGTTCTGCCGACAGCTTTCAGGGTCTGCAGGTTGGCTGAGCTCTGATAACCATGAGGCTGATCATAGCTGCATGGGGTGCAAGACGACAATTTTTACTGAGTCCTGTTGGAAGCGTTTCTTATAGGGGGAGGATTTGTTTCCTGGGCTGTTGAGGATGTGGGAGCTCTGGAAGATGTTTGTTGCAAAGAATGAGACTGTAGGCTCAGCACTGTTGAAAATCAGGCCACTGAATGAGATTTTGCATATTTAATGAATTAGGAATATTCCCCTGAGATGCCAAGTTATGACGGCAAATTAATCTCCAGGAAGGTGAGAAGCTTTTATAAAATTGGAGCTAAAACTCATCCTGATATTGCCTTGGTAAAACTCAGTGTAGTTTGACGCGTGATCATGCAATTAGGCTCAGTAGTCTGCTCCTTCTCAGAGCTGTATTTGGAAGCTGAACTATGAGCTCTTGTAGCCCCTGCTGCTCTCTGCTGGCCTCCATGAGAATGGATCCCTGTGTGTCCATTGCTGAGACACAAACTCGCCTTCACCCAAGGGAAGAGGCTTTCACTTGAAGTCCTGGTTGTCCTTCTCATGGATCTGTAGTTTAACTTGGCTTGTAACACCCTTCCCTTTCCCAAATAACTTCAGAGATCACTCTGATGTCCCACACAGGAAGGTTGTCACCAGACTTTTGGGCTAATGTTTTTCTCCTTGTGCTTCAGAGTTTTGCTTCAATAACGCGAGGGGTTTTAAGTAGCCTTTTTAATGAGAAAGTGAAAAGATCTTATATCTGACTTCTCGTATCTGAGGATGTGATAGTGCCTATATCTAGTTCACCATCCTTTTTCCAAAGAATGGTGCATGTTGCATAGCCAGTGGGTAAATTTGTGCCAGCTGAGAGCTCTACAATTCCTTATCTATGCTGCATGTGTAAAGGGGGGAAAAAAACAAGGTAAAGAAATGCTGGGAAGCTCCATGAGCAGAAGAGCCCTGGCATGGGACTGTGGATCTTGCCCCTCTCCCCAGGTTTGTCCCTGTCCTGGTCTAGGTAATCTCCTTTCTCCCATGCTGCTGGTTGTCCCCTGTACAGTGAGGTGGCCATTTCTTACCTAACATGGGATCCTACCAGACCATCGGTGTGTGAGCTGCGGATTGCCTGAGGCTGAGAGCAGCAGGGACTTACACCACTGGGTCTGCACGAGCTCCCAGAGCTGCAGGTAGCATGGATCACCAGACTTTCACCTGCCAAGAGATGCACAGGACAGGCAGCTGGGGAGGGGAAGTGCCTTCTCCAGGGTTAGCTCTTCTTTCTTTACGGTGCAAGTTTCTTCACTGTGTTTCCTGCAGAGAGTGTTGGCTCTGTCTCACCAGACATATTGCTCTGGCTTCTTTCAGGAGAAACCTGTCCCTGGTGAAGGAGCTGGGGGACAGAGCTGCACAGGGCCGTGCTTATGGCAACCTTGGCAACACCCAGTACTTACTTGGCAACTTCAGTGAAGCTATAGCCTTCCACAAAGAGGTAAGAAACTTGCACCTTCTTCCTGGGGTCAGGGGCTGAGACTGACTGCTGGGGAGAAGCTTTTCTTCTCACCACAGCCCAGAAAGTACAGGGAGATGTTTGCTCTCAGCTATTTTTCTCCCTTCTGTGTGTACCTCAGGGTCTGGCCCTGCCATACTAACTCATACTGAGCAATATCTTACTCCAATCCCCATCAGCACCTGATGAGCAGCTTGAGGGAAGGGTGCTGCCAGCTTGGAAAACAAAGGAGATGTCTAGAGGGCGAATTGCAGCCGAGCCTAGCAAGGCTTTTCTGCTTGTAATTGGTGTCAGTCTAGATTTTAATAAATGCAAGCCACGAATTTAATTAAGCTACTGAGAGAGCTGTTGATCAGGAATAAATGTTGTTTGTAGAATACGATGTCTTTTTGTAAAAGTTTACAGAGGGGTGAGGTGACACAGTCCCTGCCCCAATTCAAATGCAATTCAGCTTCTAGTTCAGAGTATTACCCACTGGTTTCCTTGCGGTGGAAGGTGCTCAGCACTGTGGAAAGTCAGCCCTCTCACAGCTCTTCTGATTTTTGAATGCTGGAGGACAGCAACCAGTAGTGCTTTGGGAGAAAGGGGCTTGAAAGGGGCAGGAAAACTCTGTGCAGTGTTTGGGACCAGGAGCAGGGTGGTGCAAAGCAGAGGGTGAGAGGTGGGGAAGCGTGAGGGGCTGGGGGGCAAGAGAGGGGAGGCAGGACTGAGATGCAGGCAGAGGTCTGGGCAGCAGCTGCAGTGCAGACAGTGAGATGGAGTGTGCACACACGTGCATGTTTGTTCTGTGCCACAGCACCACGCAAGGTGACAGCCTTGTTCCTGTGTGCTACTCTGCTGATCAGCCCTTCACAGCCTCATCTACCACTCGCCATTCACCTCTTTATACGGCTGTCACAGTATGTGCAAAGCTCCTTTTGTGCTTTAGCTGCAGAGATGTGTACTGACCAGGCTGGAGTAGGAGTCAGAGGAGGATGCAACATTACTCCCACTTTTCCAAAGGCCCTTCCTGATCCTGAATTGCAAAACAGGGAGAGATTTCCTGCCCTGATAGGCACTGCACCACTACCTTACTGGGTGGGAGCTTTGCAAACCAAGAAGTTAATGTCCCAGAAAAGTTGCTATGAAACCTGGCAATGGCCAGGCTGTGCTCACTGCTCTGTCTGCTGCAGCGCCTCGCTATTGCGAAGGAGTTCGGGGACAAGGCAGCCGAGCGGAGAGCCTACAGCAACCTGGGCAACGCACACATCTTCCTTGGGAGGTTTGACATCTCTGCTGAGTACTACAAGTAAGTGCCAGGGGCTAAGGCAGCCTCAGGGCAGATTTTCCCTGGAAACCCTGACCTATTGCAGTGATTTCATAGGCTCGGGGGGGATGTGACAAGGGACCTGGAGGCCAGTTGCCTCTGTGGTGCTGAGCAGTGGCAAGTCACAGCCACCTGACAGTCAGCCTGCAGTGTGTAACAGGCATCCACTTCAAAGCAGTGACTTTCCTGTTGCTTTGCAGAGGTGCCCTGCGGTAAACAGGTCTCTTCATTTCCACCTGTTCCATGCAGGAAAACACTCCAGCTCTCCAGACAACTCAAAGACCAAGCAGTAGAAGCCCAGGCTTGCTACAGTCTTGGAAACACATACACACTGCTTCAAGACTATGAAAGGGCAATTGAGTACCATCTAAAACACCTGGTGATAGCACAGGAGCTGGGAGACAGGTAAGAGATTGCCTCAGGAGATGGTGCTTCTGCTTTGGTGGGCTGAGAGCACTGACCCTTCCCTCTGGATTTATTGTTCTCTACTGCTGGGGCTAAACAGCAGTGACATGTATTCTTGAAAGCCTTGAGAAATGTCTCAGAACCCCCAGGCCTTAGTCCAGTCATCTGTCAAAAATGTAACATGATTGACACCTTTATCACGGCATTCAAACCTGGAGATTGTGCCCTCAAAGCTATGTCTGCGTGGGCTGAGATTTCTAATAAGAGGTACTTAAGGAAAATGCTTTGCATTCAGCACTTTGCAATGTGGCTACTGCTGGTTTATCCCAGAGGGCCTCTCTAAAGCTTCCTCAAGTTCACAAAAATTGTATCTTCCTTAGAAACTGTGTGGATAGGACAGACAGACATACTATGTGCCACTTTGTTCTGTTGCTCTGAGATGATGCTGCAGACTTCCATGTAGAAACAAATGATGTTCCATAGAGCATGTGGAGATGATATATTTTGCTTCTTGGCCTCATTCCTTCTTTAAGAGGCTTGGCCTAATTGTTTTTATTGTTGTTATTATTTTGAGAGGTTGGTTCCTCTCTCCTGGGTACACTCTGTGATCCTCGAGCCTTCTTGCAGCTGAAGTGACTTTGCAGTCACCTTGTTCGATGTTACTGCTGATGGCTCTTGGGAAGCTGGGCGTCCTCCACTAGATGGAGCAGAGGCATTAAAATGGGAGTTCTGTGGCACTCTCCAGGCAGTATCTGCTCAGAGAAGGTATAATCCCACCCAAGGGTGAATCATGCTGTGGGGGTGCAGGCCTGTGGGCTCCTGCGTTTCTGGGAAACACACCCTATAAGCAGAAGGTATTGAACAGGGTGACAAGAAAAACGTTTAAATGCTGATCAACCCACCCAAACCTCTGAAAAGGGAGTTGCAGTCACGCTGAACCTCCCCCTGCGCCCCCAGGAGCTTTTTTTATCCCATCACCCCCCACATCTGCTCGTTTGCAGAGCTGAGCAGGCTCTGATGAGCGGTAGGTCTCTGCCTGCTTGTGCAAACAGATGCTGCAACTGCTCCAGAGACACCTGGGTGTCTGGTGGGCACTGGCTGCACTTGGGGGGCTGGGGGCGAGGGCTTCCGGGGGCAGGTTTCATGTTCACCTGCTTTCTCTGGCTTCTGAAAACAAGCAGCAGTGCCCTGGAGGCCTTGTGGAAATAGGTCAATACGTGCTGGGCTGTTGCAGGCAGTTTCAGTTTGTGCATGTGTCCTGGATGACACAGGGCTGGTATTTAGCAGGAGAACGTTGCATGCCTGCAATGTTGTCTCCTGCTGTGTTCTTGCTCATTTAGCTCTGGGCTGTTGTTGAACTAAAGGGCTGGATGTTATGTATCCTCTTGATGCATTGTGCATCTCTGGAGAGGGGTCCATGCTGTGCGAGGTGGAAGCTGGACAGGAGCTCTGGCTTCTGCTCTCAGGCTGGTGCTCACAAATGAAGCTGAACCATTCTGGGCCCTTGCTGTACTGCTGAGCTTTTTGCCACTGTGGGTGCAGGCCCACTTCTGAGGCTGTTGCTCATGCCCTCATCTAACTGACCTTAACAGAAGAAGAGTTTAACATGTACAGTGCATTTAATTTTCCTTAGGTGAACACACAGCTAGGAGGCCTGGCTGTCAGTGCTCTAGAGAAGGAGGCTCTGAAAGGGCTGCTGTGCTGCTGGGTTTTGCCCAGCATTTCTGTGGTTGACAGTTTCCTGTTTTGCAGGGTGGGAGAAGGAAGAGCCTGCTGGAGTCTCGGAAATGCCTACGTCTCCCTGGGGAGCCATGAACAAGCCTTGCACTTTGCAAGGAAACATCTTGAAATCTCCCAAGAGGTAAGAGAAGCTGATTTAGATCAGAGGGAATCAGCTGTCCCTGTTGAGAGGAAGACTTTATTTAATGCCAATAAGTTATATTAATTTAGTTCTTCTCTTGCTATGACTGCTCTGGAAAGCCCTTGTCTGGGTGCTGTGTCAATGGGCTCTTTAGGAACTGCAGGGCTTGACTCGAAAATATACTTTTTAGGGGAGGCTCCCAGTCTCCCCCTTAATTACAGCTGATACATTTGCTGTGTGTTGCTCTTAACCAATATTCCTGAGTATTCAAGGACCTGGGGACTATTTATCTGGTCTGCTGGCCCAGATGTTGTGCATCCAGCTGTTGCGAAGTAAGTCTGTTAGTATGACCCCCTCCTTTCCTGAGCACGAGGCTGTGAGATCCTGCCTGAGATGGACCTTGTGATTCTAACTGTAGTCTGACACAATTTGCTGGCAAGTTAAGTACCTAGAGAAAACAAGGCCAGTTTCTACCCAGTGACTGGGTGCTCCAAACCTGCTGTGTCTTGCACTGCAGCAGGGTGTACGTGTGACAAGTTATTTCCTCTCCGTGGAGCTGGCGGGGGGGTCCCAGCTGTGGGGTGGCAAACACTAGCACTGCCCTAACGCCATCGATCGCTGACGCCGGACGAGCACAGCCTGCAGCTAGCCCTGTACTGCTGCCACCCCGTTTGGGTTTCAGGCATGCAGCGACTCTGGTTTTCACAGATGTGCTCACCCAGCTGGCTGCAGCTCTCCTGGCGCAAGAACATGCGGCGTTGTTAGGTGGCTCATAAGTACAGAGAGCAAGAACGCTGTGGTTTGCTCCTTCCAGTGTGTTATGAAGAAATGGGCTGTGGCCTCTTTAGTCTTCCCCAGATGAAGAAATTGCCCTAGTGAAGTGTTAATTGAGTAGGGCTGACACACCAGCCTAATTATGTATTTAATTATGCTTATCAGACACGCAGAAGAAATACTGTTCTTTTGGCCCTGTACATTTTAGGACAATTTAAATTTCCAGCTTTAGTCTGCGAGGACTGTTGCAGCGCAGGGCTGATTACTTGGAGCCAGATGGCAGCTTGGCAATGTGCAGTGAGGATGAGGGGTGATGGGAGGACAGGAGCAGCAGTGGTCCTGGTGACTTCTAGGGGTGGAGGAGAAACCCGACAGGGTGGGGGTTCACAGTGATGTTTTCATTCCGGGGTGATGGCTGTGATTACAGGGCATGTCAGGAGTAGGTTACTCATGGCAGGTGGCTAATAAACTCCCCCACATTGTTAATTATGGAGCAGAGACTGTCCACTAGTGAGGAGGGCCTGCGTTAGCTTCTAGCAGCTAGTGATTCTGTCCTAAAGCTGGTGTTTTGGTTTAGCCTTGGGAACCAGGTGAGCTGTTTATGCTGTTATGACAAGAACCAGCATTTTGCCCAAGAAAAAACTAGTGAAGTTAAACCTCTGCACACTCATGTGTTTATCTCACTTTTCATCACCCCTGTCCCTAAATCTGATGGTGATGTTTGAATCCAAATGAAATCTGCTCAGAGTGAGCTCATTGGAAGCTGCTGCACGGTGATCAGAGGTTACTGAAAAATTTCTTCTGAAACAGCTGGAGTGAAGGATGTGTACCTAAAAAACCTTGGAAGCTGTCCCAGCTCTCAGACACTGCTCTGGAGTACCTTTCCCATCTCTGTGCGTGGCAGGGTGCTGCTGGAAAACTGAGACATCTGAGCTGGGGACAGAAAACAGAGCTCTGCGATGGTGTGTGTGTGTTAGGTCCTGCCTAGCATCCTCGTCCTGCCAGTGTGCTCCTCTGATGTTAATAGGGCTTTGGAGAGGATCTGGAGTGAGTGGAAGTCAGGAAAGCATTGAAGTGAGCATCAAGGACTGCAAGACCTGACCAGGACATAGTAATTTCTCTGGAGATTATGTCAACAGCAAATCTCTTGTAATTGGCAGAGGATTTATGCCTGATGATAAGCTGTTTGATCTGCCTCCCTTTACTAGTGCTTGGGGCTTTGTCATAAATAATGTGGGGATTTATGATTTTGTTCTAGGACGGCTCACACTGCAGTCTATCTCGAAGGACCACAAAAGAGCTGTTGCAAGGCATTTAATAGGGAGTCAGACCTCTCCAAGGTCTTCCTCTGTAACAGAGGCTGCTGTTCCTCTGAAGATGAGGGACTGTTTCTCAGTGACCTCTCTGTGTTCGCTGGTGATACGCAGCACAGTAATTTTCTTGTTTTGTTAAACTTTGAGGAGGACCCAGCAGCATATCCTACAACTCCCCATTTTAAGTAGCAGGAGACATTGGAAAAAATCTCTCCCTGAACAGTATAACATTAGCTTCCTCAGGCCAGTGAGAGATGGGAATTTGGAAAAATTTGGACTCGGAGTCTTGTGTGGGTAGATCACTAGAAACTACTCAAAGCTGTATGGACCTGAGCCAAGAGAGAAGGGCTTTCAGAGCATCCAAGCCCTGAGTGTGGCACTGCCCACGTGGCTGATAGTAGTGTGGCTGTCTGGTGCTCAGTAACTATGGAAATACTTAAGGAAGGGGACTGAGAGTTTCAGGGCTCTCTGCCAAGCCATATGCAGCTACAGGATGGACCAGACGTGCCTATTACCTCTGTCTCCGTTCTCTAGCAGCAGGTGAGCTCTGCCCCCTCGGTTCATTGCACTGAACTCCGCAGAAATGCGTTTTGAGGTGCAACCAGTGCACAGCACGGCATGTGCAAATTACTGCTCTCCCAGATTACTACCGAGGAATAGTTTTGGAGAGTTGTTTTGGTGTTGAAAACTGGGGCCCTGTGGTCTCTCAGGGTGTCTCCAAGCTTTCTTCTGGCTGGCTGTGTGTTTGCTTTGATATGGGACTGGCAAACCCTTTGCTAGGGTCTGTTTGCTTAGAGCGTGTTGCCTTTTAACCAGCTGCCCTGTTGGTTTTCACCCTGTAGATCGGGGACCGGAACGGTGAGCTGACAGCACAGGTGAACATAGCCCAGCTCAAGTCAGCCCTTGGCTTGGGCCCCGGGGATGAGGACATGGGCATCGCTCACCACTACTCTGGCTATGAAGCACAAGGTGAGTTTCTGGGCCTTTTGCTGGCACCAAAGGGCCTCATGAAAGATATGGTGTGGTGTGTGGGGAGGGGGAGGTGTTTGCAAGTGGGCAATGTGGGAGGAAATGTGAATGCTGGAGCAAGATGAGGCTATCGAGTGCCTTTACCAGAAGGGAGACTGCAGGATGTTTGTTCTGTGCTTTCCATAAGCTGTGAGGGCATGAAAGGATCTGCCCCAAAAAGGGCACCGAATGAGTTAATGGAATTAATCTGCATTGGGAATGAAATTCCTAGTGCCAAGCTGCAAACCAGCTTTTGTCTCTTAAAGCTCTTTGGGGCACTTTTGACTGATTCGACTGATAAAGCAAGCTTTCAAAAGGTGACTGTCAGGGATTTTTGGCTGCTCTCACTCTGATTAGCACCCGAGGAATGAGCTTACAGCATGGACTGAAGGCAGGTTGTGAGCATCAGCATGCTGGGTGCTGTCTCACCCCTGGAACACCTGTAGTGATGCCCAACTTGGAAACAAAGATGTGGCAAGACTTGGTCACAGCAGACAAATGGCTTTATTCACCACACTTGACCCAGGGTCCTTCTGCCACCGCTCCCCAGGGCACAGGAGAGCACAGCTGAGTCCTCGCCACAGTGTGCTGCCAGCCTGATGTGTTGCCAGCTCCAGGACCGTCTGCCTGTCCTGGAACTGCCCACTGCAGACACTCGTGGGTGCCTGGCATGGGGCACTTCCAGCTGGCTGATCTGTCACTGTAGACAGACTTATTAATTCACACAGATGAAACTGCATCCCAGGAGGTGCTGGCTGATTAAATATGACCTTGTTAGCACAGACACTTTTCTCAGGTGGTGTGTTCTCTTTCCTGTTGGTAGAACTGGCATAGGGAAGATGATGCTTGGGTTGAGGCACGATGTTCTGGGAGGGAGAAAGGCTGGCTGCACGTGTTTGCTCTCTGTATTGATCTTGAAGGTGTAGCCTGCTACATCAGTGCTCAAACTTTTCCTGAGAAGTCGAGCTGTGGGCGAGGGAGCCAGCGTGCCCGGCCATGCCTCATCAGGAGCTGAGCTGTTTTCTCAAAGGCCATGTGGGCCCCGATGACTGCCCCAGCCTCCTTTTGCACATCAGCTCCAGCTTTATAACTGCTGGGAAACTTATTAGCTGGGGCCTTCTGTTCGTTCCTGGCACCTCGTTTGGGTCTTCCTTCTGGCAAATTATCTTCCTCTGAAAGGGGGACAGGGAATTAATCCTGATGTAGCTGCCGCTCCTGGGACAGAGTGAAGTGGGGAGGAGATGAGATGATGGGGTAGCAGGTCCTTCGAGCTGGGGAGTGGAGGGGTGCAGGAGGGCAGCACCAAGGACCGCGTGGGCATGAGACCATTGCATGCCGAGATGCATGTTTGACTGGATGCATGAGCATATTGTGTGGAAGAGCTGTGGCAGGAAGGACATGTGCCAGATTTATGTGGGAGAGGGGCTTTGCAGCTCTGACTCTATCGTATAACCAGGAGTGCACAGAATATTTTAACTGGAAATAAGAGAAAAAAATAGAGCAAGGGGGTCTTTGCTCTCATAATATGCTCCCCATTGAAGCTGGGCTTGAATGCAACTTGCTATGGTGTCAGGCAGCGGATCCAGTGTTCTGCAGCCAGTGTGCTGTGGGGGTCAGGGAGGGGCTGGGTCTAAGCAGAGCCCCTCTTGAGGAGAGCTGAGCCTGGTGTGTGGTCGTGTCCCCTATGTGGGTGGTGACACAGCCCCACTGTCCCCCTGACACCACCCTACCAACCACATCTTGCAGCATGAGACACGGAGAGCATGCGGCACTGAGGGCTGCTCACTGCCTGCCAGTGATCCAGATGTGCCCATGCCGTATTAACATCTGGTGCCAGTAGTGATTTTCCTCTCATCTGACAGAGCCAGAGCCGTGCTGGTCTGTGCGTGATTGCCGGAGGGTGGGAGAGAGGCTGAGCTGCTGTAGTCAGGGACAGTGTTTGCTGGAGGTTGCAGTGACCTCGTTAGTCTGTGCTGCTGTTGCTCACATTCCCAAGGCTGAGGCTGTTGTCTACAGAAGGACAAAATGTTCTCTGAAGGAAAAACAGCAAATGACTGGGGCTTACAGTGTGGGGAGGGAGGGACCGCAGTGCCCGGGGCAGGTTCCCTTGCAGAGTAGGACTTCACCAGTCGATGGGATGTGGTGGGTGCTGCCCCTCGCTGGGGCCTGGGAACCTGCCTGCCGCTGTGTCTCATGGGCTGCAGCTGTGCAGCAGCATCTTGCTGGAGGAAAGGAGTGGGAGTGTTGCAGTGCTCAGCCACGTGCATGCTTTTGCACAGGCATCTCAGGTGAGAAAGGTGCTGTCCCTGTTGCATAGACATTTGGAGGAAGGATGGGCCTGCAGGACAGCCCGTGGAGAGGAGCTTGGCTCTCTTGATTTCTCCTTAGCTTTTATTCTGGCTTCAGCCCTCTTATTCCAAACTTCAGTGGAGGATAAGTGAGGCCACCGATGTGTCGCTGAGCCCTTGAGAAGATGGGAGATGTATTTAATGGCTGCTGGGAACTTTGGTACCCTCCTGTGCATCTATTAAATGATTAGAAAGCATAATTATTTATATTATTAATAGCAGCAATTTACAGCAAGAGGAACATCTGTTTCTGTAATAGGAAGCAGGTGAGAGAGTTGAGATTCAAGTTGACTTCTGAATCAGCCCTGCCTTTTGATGTCAACAAATCTCACAGTGAGGAGAGCTTTCACATTTTTTTCCTTTCAGATTATTTTCCCCGCTTAAGGTTATAAAACATCTGCATATTCATAAGGATGCTAAAATCATCTGATAGGGCAGGCATGTTATAAAACACATTAATTTCATCAAGCAGGTAGAATAAATTTTCATAGCAAACTTGAGTTCTAGGAAAATCTGTGCTGTTGACTGAGAAACCCTGAGCCAGACCAGCAGACTGTGGTGTCCTTCACAGGTCACTTTTGCTTCGAAGCCTTGGGCATTGCCCTCCACTGGGGGCCTGAGGGAGGAAGGAGTGTCTGATGTTTTCCTCTGCTGTTTTGGCTCCTCTTCCTGAATTTTTTGTGATTTGAATTAATATTCTGAGAGGAATTGGACGTCAGAAGACAAAGCTGGAGGCCAGGGAAGTGGGGCAGTGCTGCAAAAGTCTTGTGAAAGCAACGACCTTGTCAAGAAACGCAAACACAGAGATCTTAAAGCAACAAACTGAAGGAAGCTAGAGAGTAACTAAAACATGAAGCAAATAAACAGAGGTTGAGTCTGTTTCTTCAAACACCCAAAAATGTGGCTCTGAAAACTGGTCTTTCCCTCTTTCACACACTGGAAGCTAAACTTGGAGCACTGGTAGGCTTTTGCCGTTGGAGAGAAGTAAGGGAACTTGCTGTGCCTGTCAGGGAGTTGTTTGGTAGGGGTGAAGGCAATCATGAGCATCGAGAAGTGCTGCCTGGTGCTGGGAGATGTCCCACGGCACAAACAGCCAGCTCTGCCCTCAGCATTACTGCGGGACGTGGGGTGGGAGCGCTGCCTGCCCCTGCCACCCTCGCTGGCTGCCTTTTTCTAGATTAGTTGATTTGGGCTGAGGTTTCAACATCTGCTCAGCGAGGAGTTGGCTGTGCCTGGTGGGTCCCAGTGAATCTGGAACACAGAGCTGAGCCCTTCCCAGACAGAGCCTGGGGGCAATGCCTGCCCGGGCTGTCCCTGGGTGGGTAACTTGGGTCTCTGGTGTACTCTAAACAGAGCGCTGCCCTTGCAGCATTCCCCTCTTCAAGTCCTCCTTGTCAGCTCTCCCCTCTGGAGGCTGGCACTGGCTGGGGCAACCTGCCAACTGGGAGGAGAGCACAGAGAAGGGGCTCACCTACCACCAAAGGGGCGGAGGTGCTGGACAGAAGGTTGAGAGCAGCCCTGGCCAGCCTCAGTGCCACTCCAAAGTGAAAACTGACTCTGGACTGCTTTTCTTCTGCTGTCAGCCTCAGTTGTCATCTCTGATGGCAGTGGTAGTGTTAGACACTGAGCAACACCTCTCCTGGCAGCTGGGTGTAGGTGGGAAGGGATGCAGGTGTTCCAGAAGGCGTTGGCATGTAGATGCTTTCCAAGCATTGCACGCTGGTTTCTGACGTGGTTTCTGTGCTGTTTGCAGTATGTAGATGCTGCTGCCCAGCTGTGCTCAACGGGCACTGAGGGCAGGAAAGGACTTGGCCATGACTCTGGCTTCCCCTGCTCTCTGCACATCTGCTGAAAAAGGGTAGGCACAAGGCAAGTCTGCTGCTTTGGTGTTCGGGAGCTGGAGCACTGCTCATCCCTGGGTGAGAGGCAGCCATGCTTCAGGTTGTTATTCTCAAGTGGTGAAGTGGGCAGCTGAGTTGGGTGGGCATAAAACCCCTCTCCTTCCTGAGCAGTAATCAGCTCCATGTGGCTTTGAATGTGGGTCTTTGCATCCTCAACGCAGTTCTGAGCTTGCCTTCTTCAGAGGAATCTTTGAACCCTTGGATCAATTAGACAGGGATAGAAGAAATCTGCTTTTATGTTTCCCAGCCTGTTTGTTTTTGCTTGTTTGCTTACTTTAAATATCTTTGAAGTATCTAAGAAGTGTTTAGGGCTGCTGAAATATGTTGGGTTGACCAGCCCTCTATTCACACAAAGCAGGAAGGAGGCAGTGCTGCTAACCCATGCCAGCCTGCACCTTGGGCAGGGATGCTGCCCAGTGACAGGGACGTTCCTTCTCTGTGACTTGCTCAACCTTTCTGCGAAGGACCGTCCTCTGTGACAGCCAAGAGATGTGGCCCTCAGAGACCAGCCCCTGTTCACTGAGGCTGTGATTTCGGTGTCTGGGTGGTGTTTGCCTTGGGCTCAGCAGAGGAGTACAGGGGTCACGTTGCTCATGGCTTCAGCACAGAACCTGCCCTGTTCCTACTGGTCAGACCTGAGTAAACATAGCAATGGAAATTGCTTAATATTAAGTATCCTAAACTATATTTGATTTTTCCCAAGAGCTAATGG